TGAATTTATCATCTTTCGATGAGGATAGAAAAAAATCATCATTATGGAAGGAAGATTTCTTTTACTATCGCAAAAAAGATAAATTTAAATTCAAATAAACACACATAAAGCATTTTAAGACCTATATTTGTATAATATTTTTTTCTCTTTAGCTTACAAAACACACTATTGAAGTATTATGAAAAATTCAGGGACACTCTGTATAATTTAAGTGTTGAAATTAATTAATTTGGAATATATATTTTTGATTTATATATATTTTTAAATGTTTATGAACATTGATTATTTCAGTAATTGATATAATTTAGAATATGAGTATACAACAAATCTAACAAATTAATATGACAAATTAATTATTATTATTAATGTACTAAATTAATAATAATTAATTAAATATATTAAATTAATATTAATTAAATTAGTATTAATAAATGAGAGTTAATTTCCTATCAAAACAAACCTGTTAAAAGAAATAAACTTTTTTTCTCTGCTCTGCATATACGATATTGTTCAGAAGTGATGTACAATACGATCATTCAGAAAGATAATCCACTATACGAACGACGAATAACCTTCCTACAGTCATTAACTCACGCAATTTTGATAAGAATCGGCGTCATCGTGACATTGACAATAGCAGTGCAGAAAAAGTGAGGTTAACTAGTGAGAACGAAGTTTCACATTAACATTATTAAGAAGACATGTGGTCAATGGAATAAATTAGACTCTACCGATCGTTGCAAAATTTTCGATAGCTCACAGATCTCATCGGGATAAGAATTTTCAAGTGTACAAAAATGAATTCGTATGGATGGAACAGAGAAATATTCGAGCCAGAATTCATTCGGCAAGAAACAAAGAAGATCGAGGTGAGTATATGACAATAGCATACCTTACATATTTCGAGAATTTTGAAGCAATACAGCAACTGATAATTGCAAGATCGCAACAATTAATTTCGAACGGTTTAAATTTAAACAGTCTTGCTAATTAGAAGTTACAAGGATCACCATTGGCAATATTTGTCGTTTTAAATTGCGTGCATGCTGGCTCGAAGTTTTCAAAATGGATGAATTTGAGATGAGCGTAACCATTGGCTAGATTTAAGAATGACAACCAATCGCGTTTTACCGTTATAATGTGAATAGCAGATTCTGTTTTTATTATTCTCGCACTAAAATTTTTTTCTCATTTTTGTCAAATATCAAACATATATTTATTTCACTTTAAGTTCCAAAAGTGTACACTTTAGTAGTTCAGCTGTAGAAAACAGATGTATAGAATCCGAAAGCCGCCACTGAAAAGTGAGCGTGCGCCTCTCCTGCCTTCTCCATCGAGCCAATCAAGGTCATTTCGAGAGTGACGAGAGCTGTATAGTCCTATAGTGTATACTGGCATATGTACATACCTGGTATGACGTAGCGAAGGAAAAGCTATGGGTGAGGGTTAATGGTTATCGTGGCTGAATCTGTCCGGCATAGAAGTCTGTCAGATCGTAACGGTTTCGAAACTGCATCGGAGTATCTTCTCGCGCTTCATAATCCGTGCCAGTTAAAACGTGACGGATATCGAAACATTCGAGACAACATCGGAAGTTCGAGCTGCGTCGTTCGCTCGAACGATCGGTGTTTTCGAGATCATTTGAAATTCAATTTGGATTTGGGCGTAGTCGAGAAGAAAACGAGAGGAAAATAAGTGCGATGAGTTATTACGATGGTTACGGTGGCGATGGAGGTGGCACCGAGGAGGATGTGTTTGTTAAAACGGCGGTCGAGATCAAGCGATTCCTACCGTCACTTTTCAACATCAAAGTGGTACGCTTATTTGTCTCGTTATCAGAGGCAAAGAGCCGGCAGCCGATGAGTCATTGAAGCTCGCAGACTCCGTTTCTTCAATATCTTCACTAATAGATAATCTTTAAATTTTTTGTAGAATCTGTGTCAAGACGAGTATTTGTCGAAATAAATCTTTCATTGCCCGTTATATTTTTTAAATAGTTCAGCGCATTGTTTTTTTAGTATTGATTTCTATTTTGTTTTTCTTTATTATAAATTACAAATTATAAATTGAGATAAATTTTAATTAAATAATTATTTATTAAGAATAAATTTGTTTAAAAAATTTTTAGTTTACTTTTTGAATAATTAGAAATAGTAATTTTTCTAATTTGAGATTCCATCGAATTGTTTTTCACTTAAGGCTGAGTAGTCACCATAGTCATATTGAATTGTGACGTCGAAGCGTGAAATGACACATTAATTTTTATTACATGTCATTTATAAATAAAGACAATTTGGATAAAACAAAATGATGAGATTACTTTAAAATATTTATAAAAATGAACTATGCTTATCCTCCTTGACAGTCAGTAAATAATCGTAAAACGTAATATAAAGCATGCGTAAATGAAAATAAACTGCCAATTGAATAAAATCACTAATGTGTCTTTTATCACTTTTTATGATTATTTATTGACTGTCAGAGGGGATGAGTATAGTTTTCATCCATTTTTACAACTGTTTTAAAGCAATCTCATCATTTTGTTTTATTTAAATTGTTTTTATTTATAAATGGCACATAATAAAAATTGTCACTTCGTGCCATTTCTCGCTTTTGATGTCATGATTCAAATGGCTGCGTTCCATTTAATATTCGCAATGCTCACGAGCATTATTTGTCTTTGTTTAACATTTGATAATCGATAAGGATTAATGATTCTACGAGCGTTTGTTAAGTAGAACGCAGCCATGATTGTGATGGCTACTTAGGATAACTAACAAAAGAAGGACGCGACGTGATAATAATTGATTACGGCGAAACTCGTTGTAACGATAGGTCTGCAAGAGATACATCATTTATTTTCTTCTCATAGAACTTAAAGAATTTTTTATCAATTTTTTTTGTCGTATGAAAATACGATATTAAAAAATTCTAAAAAAATTCTGAAAAAATTCTCAGAATTTTATAAGAAGAAAATAAACAATTTTTATCTCTTGCTGTTTTTCTGTAAAGTTGATAGTATTTAAGTAAAAAATTATTGAAAACCAATGATTTTTAGTCATTTCTAATTGATTTTTTCACAAACGCTTGAGAAGCGCATTATGTCCCTTTATTCAGTATCACTTGACATGCAGATCTATCGCTACAACGAGATTCATTGCAATCGATTATTATCACGTTATATCCTCTTCTTGTAAAAGATATATAAATAATAGAAAAATAATTATAAAGAATTAGATCACTTTCTTTCCGATATCTTTTGATACAAATAATCGGAAAAATTAATTAATCGATAAATATTTTATAAAAAATAATATGTATATATCTACGAGATAAATTGCTTTGTTGTGTTTTACTAGCACAACATAATATATAAATCTTTTTAAATAAAAGCTTGACTAAACATCTTCACATATAAAATCATGTAACTTGTGCATAGCATATTGGAATAAAATGTAACATCGAGAAAAGTGCATGATTGATCAATTCCTCTCATTTAACATCTCCTATTTTTCTCGCTCTAGAAATATTTCGCAAATTTACACTGAAAAAAAATGCTGTTGATTCAATTAAAGTCTATATTACGAGCTGTCATTAATATTAGTATTTAATGTATATTTTTATTGACATAAAGATATAAATTATTTTAATAATCAAGGCCTTTATGTCAATACAAATATACATGAATTAATTACTTATGTTAGTGACAGCCCATAATATAGATTTAATTGAATCAACAGTATTTTTTTCTCAGTGTATATAAAAAAAATCTACATTAATGAATGATCTTTCACAATATGAATACTAAAATTCTCTTGAATATCACACAATTATTTACGTCTTTTGTAATATAGGTACATTGCATGCAAGATATTCTAACACCAATGGTGATGGTAATAGTGATGACGACATTGTACGAGAAATACAATGCATTCTTGTACGATACGTATTCATTCATTAAAAAAAATTATATGCGTCATAACATGTGTCAATACAGTTATTATTCATGCCGTCTACGTGTTTTTACAAAACACGTTAATTATTTAAATTCTAACTTAAAAAATTTTGTTCACATATTGAAAGAGTTAAAAGAGTAACGACAATGAAATAGAATCCCGGGAAAAAATGTTATAAATATGGACATATTTTGTATATAATTATATACATATAATTATGTATAAAATATGTCAATTTTGTATATAATTATACATAATTATATATGATATATGAAACTTTAATAATTATATATTATTATATTTAATAATTATATATGAAACTTTTTTCGGGATGTAAACAATAATTAAAAATAATTATTAAATAAATAGATAAAATATTAAATGATTAAAATATTAAATGCATGCTTATATGTATAATAATGTAAATAAGTAGCATAATAAATGATTTACTAAATTAATTTCGTTATTGCTCTTTTACTTGCAATTATTTATAATTCAAAACGTAATTGGTTTAGTTTATAATCTGTATGTTATTCAGTTTTTTAATACGAACTTTGTATATCAATTTATACTGTATGTTTAAATTAATCATTGACAACATACCGTGCAAGTTGAACTTATTCAAAAGAAGATTGGAACTTTTCTTTTCGATTGCTAAATTCTCAATAAATGTTTAGAATATAGATACTTGCGCGCTTTGCATTTCATTTCATAGCTGTCTACTTTTAAGTTCGACTATCAGATGTTTTAATATTTTCAGAAACAATAAAAAAATAATTGTACACAAATTGTTAAGATAAAATAAAAGTATATTTTAACGCAGACATTTATTATATTATTATATTGACATAGATATTCATTAGCTAATACACTTTGCTCATTGTAATGCATTTCTATATTATACCATGTACTAATTTGTTATCTCTTTACGTACACGCAGCTGTTCGCATATCCTTATTAAACAATATCACAATCTAAATTGCGGTTTGTTGTTTTCCGGTATAGTCATCATACCACTATTTCCACAAACGATAACCGTATCGAACCTATCTGATAAAGATAGCTATTTCAAGTTCGAACAATGAAGCTTTTCTCATGGTAGCGAATAGTTTTAATTCTCATTTTGTATTGGTTGCATGTTTTCGAGGAGAAACCTGCTTTGCTTACGTGACGATTTTTTTCTGCACCCGCGTTTATTCTTTTCTATGCATGTAAAACGATTCGCTTCGTTAACTCACCGACATGGATTCACGGCGTAGCAAATATACCAATTATCGCTACTCCAATTACATGCAAGAAGGCCTGGCAATTCTGAAAATTGGATCTAGTGTTGAGTCTACAAAATCTACGAATAGTAGGACAATCGGCAGGAACAATAATATCCTTTACTTGGCCAAACGCGAGTCTGTTCCTAAAAATTCGGCAGTAAAGCTGAATAAGTCCCACGATTCTACGACGTGGAAGCATAACAAATCTTTTGAAGATAAAGGGATACGAACAACAAAAAATTTTATTGGAAAACCCTGCTATAACGTAGGGCAAAATCGCAATTTTTTCCCCTTTTTTCTCGAAAATAGAGAAATACCGCATATACACTTTATGCACAAACTGATGTTCGCAGTTAGGGGAGAAAGGATCCGGCTTCAGACCACGAGGGGAAGTCCAAGACTTCAACACCCTGAGACGAGAATGCCTGGCGACGGGAAGACTCTTCGAAGATCCTGAATTTCCAGCCAATGACTCGTCACTGTATTTCTCCCGCAGACCGGATAGATACATAGAATGGAAACGGCCGATGGTTAGAAATCTTTTGAATTATTATCCTAAGTTTTATTAGCTGCCATCGATAATAATTTATAAATCAAACACGCAAGGAGAATGGTCTTAATATTATCTATAACGCGCTAATTTTGCAGGAAATTGCAGACGATCCTCAGCTCTTCGTGGAGGGTTTCTCAAGATTCGACGTTCAGCAAGGAGAGCTGGGAGACTGTTGGTTGTTGGCCGCAGTGGCGAATCTGACCATGCATTCGAATTTATTCTTTCAAATAGTGCCAGAGGATCAGAGCTTCGAGGAAAATTACGCTGGAATCTTTCACTTCAGGTTTGCTAGAATGCAGTTTTATAAACAACGTTTTTCCGACGTAGATAACTAAAAATAACTAAAAATAATTTAATTTACATTCTTATTATATAAACCGAAATGTTTATAGAAACGAATTACGTATATCATTCAGAAATTTCGTTAATTACTGAATAGAATATCACGAATATATTAATTCTGTGATATTTGTGTGACAAGTTTTTCTGCAAATTGCTACTAACTTGGAAATGACTCTTACATAAGATTTGTACATTTATCAGGTTTTGGCAGTATGGTAGATGGGTTGATGTAGTGATCGATGATCGATTGCCCACCAGTCGTGGAGAATTAGTGTATCTTCATTCGGCCGAGAATAATGAATTCTGGAGCGCTCTTCTCGAAAAAGCATATGCAAAACTTCATGGTTCCTATGAGGCATTAAAGGGCGGTACAACTTGTGAAGCCATGGAGGATTTCACTGGTGGAGTAACGGAAATGTATCAAATGGACGAAACGCCACCGAATTTGTTCAATATTCTCTTAAAAGCCTCTGAGAGAAACTCGTTATTGGGTTGTTCTATCGAGGTGAATAAGTAGTTATAATATTTATTATTATATCGCATGCTTCAATTGGTTATTACTTTGATCCCTTCTCCTATTAGCCCGACCCCAACATAGTGGAAGCTGAAACACCTCAAGGATTAATACGCGGTCACGCGTACAGCATTACTCGCGTGAAGAACGTGGAGATTCAGATGCCAAATCGATATGGTACCATACCTTTATTGAGGCTTCGGAATCCTTGGGGAAACGAGGCAGAATGGAATGGGCCTTGGAGCGATCAGTAAGTAGTCTCCTCCTTTCGAAAATTATGATTCCAAGTTCGCGCTTTCGTCATCTGTCGATAGATCGCCAGAATGGAGATTTATCCCTGATCACGAGAAAGAGGAACTTGGCCTGACATTCGACATGGACGGTGAATTTTGGATGTCGTTCCATGATTTTACTCGCCATTTCACTCAACTCGAGATATGCAACTTGAATCCAGACTCCTTAACGACGGACGACATCAGCGCCGGGAAGAAACGCTGGGAGATGAGCGTGTTTGAAGGAGAATGGGTGCGCGGAGTAACAGCGGGTGGTTGCAGAAACTTTTTAGGTGAGATATGTAAATATATCGAACTGATCAAATTTTGTAGGAGTATTCTCGTTAAACAAAAAACATATATTTTGTAGAGACCTTCTGTCATAATCCGCAGTACCGTATTACTTTGGAGTCTCCAGATGACGATGATGACAAATGTACCGTAATTGTTGCTTTAATGCAAAAAAACAGAAGAGCGCAAAGAAGGATGGGTGCTGATTGCCTCACTATCGGATTCGCGATATATCATGTATGTGAAATTAATTGATTCTTATATAATATCTAATAATAACACAATAGAATTATAAATTTGATTTATTTGAAAATTCGAATATTTATCTTCAACATTTCGAAGAAAATAAAGTTTATTACTGTTTATAAATTATATTTTTTATTTACATAACTTTGTACTGAAAGTAATAGTAAAATGTTCAAGAAACGCATCAAGAAGATGAAGAATTCGAAGATGAAAAATAAAAAATATGAAATATTTTCTATTAAAAGTCTACTTTTTTGACAGTTAGATTATCCGGAGAGACTGCCAAAACCACTAGATATTAATTTCTTTAAGTACAACGCATCTGTTGGACGGTCACCGGCATTTATAAATTTACGAGAAGTTACATGCCGTTTCAAATTACCGCCGGGTGTTTACTGCATAGTTCCGAGTACTTTTGATCCAAATGAGGAAGGTGAATTCTTGCTAAGAATCTTCTCTGAGAACAAGAATAATATGGAGTAAGTTCTATTGCGATATTGTAATATAATAGCATGACGTTAAAGAACTTTTATCCAAATGTTTCTGTTTGTTTACAGAGAAAATGATGAAGAAGTTGGTGTTGGAGAAATTGATGATAGGGTAAGGATAATAATATATTAATCCTTAACAACGAATTATTTTGTTTATTGTAATAAATTGAAGGATGATAAAAAAAATCTCTCAGATTATATATTTAAATCAGAAAGTTTCAATCAAAATTTCAAAAATAGTTGTGTAAACAAAATTCTTACACATCAGATTGTCAATTGATACTTATGTTTAGAATTGATGAATCATACTAATGCGATAAATCACACAGCTTAGAAGACATTTATTAATAATTCGCAGCACTGGCACTGACAGCACTAATAATTCAGTTTGCTGAATTATATGCATTGTGTGTTAAAAAAGTGTAATCATAGATTAGAAATGCATTAAATTAATTTATGTTAAATTGCACAAAAACGTAGAATTAACCAATATTGTGCAATTAAGTTTTGTGTTCAGCTAATGCTTGCAAAATTTAATGCTGTTGTACCATCTGATAATTGACTCACGTTATGTGAAAAATGATAACTAATCCCTAACGAGCTGCACGTTTACATGCTTGGCTTTTAGGTAATTAATCCTGCGGATAAGGAGGATCAAAACGGAGATAACGTAAGTAAAATGCATGCTTGTATGTGTTGAGACAATAAAAAAGCTCTAATATGTTTTATGCATGAAGAAATAAGAAATTAAAGAAATATAGGATTGTGTTCAAGAACTCAGGGCATCATCATTTTATCCTTGTTGTTCACCGAATGTTAAACAAAGATAAAATAATAGTGCGTACCCTGGTGAACACAGTCTTAGATTCAATTTTACTACAACCGCTTTGATTCGAAAATACATGTAAGACATAATATAAGCATAATGAGTGTATATTGTGAATATATGTATATAGAAATCAAATTCATTAATAACAATCAATAAGAAATAAGAGAAAAAGGAATGAGTCATTCATTACGTACATGTTTTGAATTCACTTGTGATTTACAGCTATTTTCGCATCTTTTAGAAGCTGTCGTTACTATTTTTTTATGACTCATACTGTATACATAAATTTTACGTATTAATGAAAAAAATTAAATCAAAATATTTTAAGTTTTGTTTAAATAATGTAATTTAAAAATAATTACAAAGAAGTCGATTCAATTTTTTTAAAGAGATCCAGAATTTTTAGACTTGTTTTAGATTACGATTGTTTTTATATTTTATAATGAAATATTTTTTTGTATTATTTGTAGGTTCCCGAAGAACCTGAGCAAGATCGCAATAGCGAGAGAGTCCGAGAATTCTTCAAGAAACTTGCTGGCGATGATTTAGAAGTGGATTGGATGGAACTCAAAGATATCCTAGATTACGCTATGAAGAAAGGTAAATATAATCTACGCGCTGTGAGATATTTTGATATAAAAATATGAAAAAAAGAGTATGTACAGTTTTAAATACGAGTATATATAGTTTCCGTACATGATTGTATTTTATTTTAATTATAAGAGCTTTGCTTCATAGCTTTTTGTAATTTTTATGCTTAATTTGCTCGATGTTTCTCATTGATAGAATCATACATTTTAAAAATCATGCTTTATCATTAATCTTATAGTTTTTATATTTTATCACCTGCACCATTTATTTTTAGCCTGATAACCGATTAATTTACTATAAATTTGTTTCTCGTTATAAATTACTTTATTCTTTCAGCACGCTGTACAGCATTTTATAATCATTTAATAATCATATCAAAAATTCTGCATGCTTATCTTTTACCTTATAATTTGTATCTACAATGCATAAATATATTTGGGTCCTTCAAATAATTAATATAAATCCAATATCAATATTTCGAAAATTTCTTTATTTAATTAGATTAATTAAAAACTGTTTAAAAAATTGAAAATAATTGTAATAATACAATCTTTTAGTAAACAAGCATAGAGAATACATTATATAAGTGATATAAGCTTCTGTTAAAAATATTTAGTTCTTGAAGGAACTAAAGAACTAGATTATTAAAGGTTATATAAAAGTTAGAGAAATGTAAATTGTAATTTAAGGTAAGATGTGTTACGGATTCTTATGGCCCAAGTATACGTATGTAAAATTCGAAGCTAACATGTAGCTGTGTGTTACGGGTAGAGTTACCACAATTGGCGCATCGTAGCGAGGCACATGTTCCCGAAACTGTTGAAGGAAATGGTTCGCTTGTCGACACTCTCATCTTACTGCTGTGCGGCATTGTTTGTAATAATGAACAGTACAATAAGCCCGTAGGTAAGACAAATACATCTCCTATCACAGGATTGTTTTACCAATTGTGTTACGTCGTGATTATGTCCCACTTGTTTGATTATTTATCCTTATGTTAACACACAAAACGCGCTTTCATCAGCATTCATATGGTGAACTGATAGTGACAATGTCAAAATGATGTTAGCAAGTTGACACTTTATGTCTCTCACAAGGTAGGACAGAACTTTTCGATGAAAAATACCTACCGCATGCTTTTTCAATTAACAGAGAATGAAATATTAACGAATTGCTTAAATTTGTCGGCACACGTGTAAAGTTTGCAATGTAGCTGTATCATAATCGTTGAATTTGTCATTTCTATTGTATAATTGAAGATTAACTACTGTTTTAATACATTTGAAAAACTATAAGATAATACGTTTTTATTTTAATTTCATGTGAATTTTTTGTATGTATTTTGAAAATTTTTATGATAATATTTTAGATATTATCTCTTACATATATGAAGATTACAACAGGCAAAATGAGCTTTTCTCTTAAATTGCAGAGACTCACGATAGAGGTTTCAGTAAAGATGTATGTCGCAGTATGGTTGCTATGTTAGATGCAGATCATTCCGGCAAACTCGGTTTTGAAGAATTTAAAACGTTGTGGAATGACATTAGAAAATGGAAGGTAAGTACGAAATCTTTTAATTTGATTTTTGTAAGATATTTGTATGCCTAATGTTTTTATGGTATTATAAATATTTCAGGCTGTTTTTAAGTTGTACGATAGAGATGAATCAGGATATTTAAATGCATTTGAATTAAGACAAGCATTAAATAGCGCGGGATACCGTTTAAATAATCATATTCTTAATATATTGGTTCATCGTTATGGTACTAAAGACGGCAAGATTACTTTCGATGATTACATAATGTGCGCGGTCAGACTTAAAACAATGATTGGTAAGTGAAACTTGCATTTATCTAATAATTTATATATATCATTTATATATATTAATTAAAATATATTAATTAAAATATATATTATCTTTTAATATACGAGGTCTGTTCCAAAAGTATCCGATTTCTGCATATATTTTTGTCCTTGGATATCCTATTGTGGAAAACAGGTATTCAATATTTAGGGTGAACCTTTAAGAGTACTCCCATCAAGCGACCTAATAGCTGTTCAATCGGCAACGGTACGCAATTGTGTGAGCGTCGAAAATTCCAAGCATCGCATTTCATAATGACTGAACGAGTCGAGCAGAGAATTTGTATTACATTTTGTCAAAAACTTGGCTACACATGTTCCAATCGGATATGATTTGTCAAGTTTATGATAATGAACTATAAGTACCATACAAATAAAAGAATGGTTTAGACAGTTCAAAACTGGCCGTGTCTTAATGGACAGTGATCCTCGTTTCAGTAGCTTCAATGTCAAAAACAGCGAAAAACGTGAAACATATACGATTCAACAAAAATCGTTGTTTGATTGTGCGACAATTAGAAGAGAAGCTTGGGATCCCAAAAACTATTGTTTCTCGAATATTGACTGAAGATCTGAGAATGAGTCGCGTGATTGCAAAATTCATTCCACGAGTGTTTACGGAAGATCAAAAGAATTCTTGAGTTGAAATTGTCGAAGACATTCTAGAATCCATCAATAAAGATCCTGAGTTGCTTAAAAGGATTATTACTGGCGATGAAATATGGGTTTATGGTTGATCCTGAAACAAAAGCACAATTTTCGCAATGAGTGACGAGAGAAGAACCTCGACCCAAGAAAGTGCGTTGAAGTCGGAACAACGTGAAGACGATGTTCACTGTTTTCTTTAACCAGGAAGGTGTTGTACACCACGAAATACGCTTCACAAGGTCGCACAATAAATAAGGAGTATTATTTGAAAGTTCTTAAATAATTGCGTGATGCAGTGAGGAGGAAATGTCCGCATTTGTGGAAAAATGGAAACTAACTGCTGCATCATGATAACACTCATTCATCTCACCTGATTCAGAAGTTTTTGACTAAACATGTATTATCCAACTTTGTTAATCTCCGTACAGTCCAGATATAGCCGCGTGTAACTTTTACGGAATAGCTCTTTCTCATGATATTAGCAAAGGTCGGGTACTTTTGGGACAGACTTTGTATGTTAATACGTTTTGTTAATGTGTATATATCAATATTTACAAATTAATTATATTGATGATCATATATATATATATATATA